TATAAAACCTCTATAAAACCTCTATAAACCTCTTCCCAAAGAAGGAGAGGTTGGAAAAAAGAATTTTCCATTGGATCTGATCCAGGCCTTTTGAGGAGTAGATGGATCAGCATCTCTTTAAGTGGTGCTGAATTTTCTTCTTCAGTGGCTCATGCCTGGTCTGTCCTCTCATCACAATTAAATCATTTATGAGACTAAGTTTATTGTCGGCTGACATTTAAAATAATCAACATGAGCCCACAATGCTCAGTCATGCAGTTGTCTGGCTCATGTGTTGTGATTTTGCCATGGAAGTACACATCTCCGATCCTTTTTCTCCTGGGGTGTCTCTTCCCCCACCACCAGTCTTCTTTTATATTTGCCCCTGCTTGGTCCTACTAATTTTCTCCCCCTATCTCTGCCTCCCTTAGCCAGAGTTTCTCAACCTCTTTAGCCAGAGTGTCTCAATTTTGGCAACTTTAATAATTCTGGGAGCTAAAGTCTACATATCTTAAAAATACCAAGCTTGGGAATCACAGCCCTCAGCTACGTACTTAGCTCATACTCCCCAATTGTGCAAAATAACCATCTCTTCACCATGGGCAATCAAATACAATACCTGGGATCTGCACCCAATGCAATCATGCATTTCCAAACTTTACATTCTCCAAACCCTCATCAACCCAGTTCTCTTCCCTTCCATCCTTACTTGGCTCTCCCCTAGCTGGATCAGATGGTGAAACACACTACCCCTTTTTCTCATTCTGGAAAGGTGCTCTTTCCCTCCTCCTCCCCCTTCTTTGCCATTTAGAAATCCAGCAATCTTTTCTTTTTGGTGGTTATCTTTATTTTTCCTATGCCGCCTCTGCTACTTGGTGTAAAGAAATAGAACTCCCCTGGCCCATTTCAGTTGACATAGTTTCCTAAAGAATCTTGCCATCTGATGTATTTTGGGGCTTCTTCACGCTTTTATTTCTTCTGTTTTTAATGTATTTTCCTCTACTATTTATTCCAGTTTTAATTTTACTTCCTTTGTTTTTCAGGAAAAACAATAGATGGCAGATGAGGCTATAACAGTTTAATTATAGACTTGTAGTGCAATCTGGTATCAGATAAATAATAAGAGATAAAGCAGAATGTGTGATTCTTCTTCTGCAATCCCTATTTGTTAAGTCCTTTCATATAATAAGAAAACCTCAGATTGACAACTGCAAGATAACAGAATAACAGAGTTGGAAGGAACCTTGGAGGTCTTCTAGTCCAACCCACCTGATCAGGCAGGAAATCCTATACCATTTCAGATAAATCGTTGTCCAATCTCTTCTTAAAAACGTCCAGTGCTTGAGTATTCACAACTTGTGGAGGCAAGTTGTTCCACTGATTAATTGTTTTGTCAGGAAATTTCTCCTTAGTTTTAAGTTGCTTCTCTCCTTGATTAGTTTCCACCCATTGCTTCTTGTTCTATCCTCAGGTGGTTTGGAGAATAGCTTGACTCCCTCTTCTTTGTGAGATATTGGAACACTGCTATTATGTCTCCCCTAGTCCTTCTTTTCATTAAACTAGACCTTCCCAGTTCCTGAAACTGTTCTTCAAATGTTTTAGCCTCCAGTGCCCTAATCATCTTTGTTGCTCTTCTTTCTAGAGCAGTGGCCCCCAACCTTTTGGGCACTAGGGACCGGTTCTGTGGTTTTGTGTGCTACCTGAATCCCGTGGATGGGGCTTCCCTTGTTTGCATGGCCCAGTTTCTGGCATACCGTGGATCACTGCCAGTCCATGGACCTGAGGTTGGGGACCCCTTTTCTAGACTTTCAACTTCTTTTTCACATTGTGGCAACCAAAGCTGGATAAAGGATTCCAAGTGTGGTCTTACCAAGGCATTATAGAGATGCCATACAATGATATCATACAAATATTTTTGATTCAATTATTCCTGCCCCCAGTTCTAACATAAATGCCTAAATAGCTCCACAAGTGAGTCCCGATTAAGATTTTCAGAACACAATAAACTGAACATTCAGAGATTACTTTTTTCAATTGCCCATCCCCTTTTCTCTTCAGACTTTACCCTTAGTGCAAATGATTCCTCTCTTTCTTTCCAGCTGTCGCTTTGTAGCTTTATTGGGGGGGGGGGATTCTTGGTTTGTACTTTGATCTTCCTGTAATTGTGCAATCACATTTGCCCAAATGAGCCCTCCCAGAAACCTCAAAAAATATGTGATGCTCTCCGTGTTTTGACACTTCGCTGTAGCTATTGGGCAACTACAGATACAAAGTGTTGGAGTATACGGACAGATACAAGCTCCAACTATGATTGCATTGAACGAAATAAGGGTTTTCACAAGCAGGATGTTTGTTGTAAAATCTGATCATATTCAATAAAGACATGGATATTGTCAAAACATCACATATCTTATAAATTACTAGCTATATGTTTATCCATCTGAGGTATAAAAGATAGGAGAGGATTGCAGCTTCCAGAAGTCCCAAGTTTCTTGGAAATTTTGGAATTGCCATTCACATACATCTAGAGATGACCAAGTTCGAAAAAGCTGGTCTATGATATGGTGTAGTTCTAAGAACTCAGTTAAGTAAGTCTAATACAAATGCATTTTAATTATCCCGGTAACTTTAATTGCAGAAAAATCCTTTTTTAAATCCCAATATCTTAATAACAGAAGGTTAGCCTTACTTTTAATGATGAAGTCAAAATTAATATGCAAATTATTTTGTATGGTTATAATGAGTGAAACTAATATCTCAAATTAAAGCTATAAGATGATATCAATGAATTTATATTAAATAATGGTTTTGTCAAAATTGTATAATGTTGAACGTTGTTATGCTTACTTATTTGTATTGTGAATAGCATCATTTATATACACTTACAGCTGCTTTCCTGCTTTAAATAATTGGAATTATTTAAATGCTTGTTTTTACTTTTGATAATGTATTCCGGTTTATCCTTTTTAATATGCTCCTCCCAGCCTGAATCTCATTTGTTATGCTTGCTAAGCTCATACATTCTCTCTATTGCTCCTCCAGACATAATAAGTTGTTCTTACCCACTCTTGACCCTTGACATACTTACTTCCTGCAGCATCATATCCTTTGCATTGGGATTTTTCCCCCCACTAATTCCAATGCACACTTAATCTGCATTCTGAATATTGCTGAATTTTACCATTTATTAGTCCAGCAACACATTATTCAAAATCATCACGAGTTCAATTTAAGACACTAGGTTGCATGCAATATAATAGAAACTTTGAAAGTATAGCAGTTTTAGTGTAGATGAAATATTTGTGCTTATGCATGGAGTAGCTTATTAGTTGAGTGAACAGCTACATAAGGACATAATACTCTACTGGTGAGTACAGACAGAGGCTCCATGCATACCAAATCAGATACTATTTGTGCCTGCCAGATATTTGCCTAAAGTGTTTCTAGACATGCAGTGAGTGATTATTAATAGGTTACTGCATGCTTTATATATTTCTGTTTTATTAATTTTTGGATTGGTCTGTTAACATGCAGTTGCTTTGAAAGCCTATCCTGCGCTTATTCTGGAACAATTTACACTCATGAAAAAAATGAATGGAAACCATTTTTCATTTTATTGATCGATACAATTTAGGCACTACCCAACTCCAAATACTCTGGGTTGTTTTAAAAGGTGGAATCATTTCATTAATATATAGCAAATGAATTGATTAAATGTCATCTTGGAATTCTCTTGCGATTTATATAATATTATATTTTCTTCCAGATTCCTCAGTTTCCCATCATTCCTGCAGTCACCCCTCTGACAGGACTTGACAGTCATCCTTCAAACCTGTCTGATATACCTGCTGCAAATATGCCCCCCACCCCTGCTCCTTCTCAATATTTTCCTTCAGCTGTGATAATACCTGTGAACTCAGCTCTGCCACTGTCATCAAATTCCCCTGCCCTCCCCATGCAAGCAGTCAACCTTCCTCATGCTAATGTGGCTCCCTTGGTCTTACCCTGCCAAACAATTGTGCCAAATATGCCGGCTGCTCCAGTACCATTACTTCCTATGCCTCCGCCGGGAGTGTCAGCTTTACCAACACATCATGCGGCAGCCCAGCTCTCCCAACAACAAATATACCAGGCAACCCTCCAGCAGATAATACAGAACGAAGCTATGTCTTCTCCCCTCCACACCCAGAATATGCAAGCAGTTTCACAACAGCAGCAACAGATGCTGTCTTCACTTCCACAGTCACTTCAGCCAAGCCTAATTCAGCCTTCAGAACAGTCTATGTCTGCTTCTGGGGCTGGTAATCAGGTAATCTATTTGACATTGGATTTTCATGGGTTTAGATCATAAGAGTAGCTCTCCAAGTGTTATCTCCTTAGATAGTTCAAATTTTAAAGAAATTTGGAAGACATTTGCCCATCAAGATAAGATAATGAAACCGAAGCCTTAAAAATGAATTGATTAGGATAGTGAAACACTAAATACAAAGGGCAGCTTGAAAAGGAAATGTCAGAGGATAAAGAATGCTTAAGGTGCCTTAAGTAGAAATTTCTGTCCCAGGAGGTGACATTATTTCTTTTCAGACGTGAAAAACACTTTTAATTTACAATAACAGTTAGTGTGTTCCAATATGTCACTGCAGTCAGAGTATAAAATAATAATTTCTTAATGAAAGTAAATCACTTATAAGTAGGTTTGTAGAATAGTGTTATTTTAAGTGCATGCCTGTTTCTTTAAAAGTAGATATTTATTTTATAAAGAAGAATTTTAGAACAATTTAAAAATATTTAATGGTAATAAATACCTTCTTCTCACAATTACATATTTAAACAATGGTTGAAGATACATATATATCTATTTACCATATGTGTACAGGTATGTGTGTGTGTGTGTGAGAGAGAGAGTATACATTTTTTTCAAGTTTAGGAGAATAGAAGCTTCTAATTTTAAATATTTATAAAATATTATAAGGTAAGGTAATGCAACAGAAGAAAATAATTTATAAAAAGATTGAATACTTCTTTTAAACAGAAATGTTATAAGAAATCATAGATTTTATCATTTGTCATCTACCACCTTAAAAGCCACCACATTCCATCTCATACTTGTTCTGTACACGCAACTTTACTGTATTACATCTTTATTTTTAGCCACATATTTGGTACATAAAAATTGTTTGTGAAGAATTCGTATTCACCTGGTCCTAGTCTAACCTCCAATGAATCAATAATATTTATTCTCACTGGCTTCAATATTAATTGTACCATCCAATGTGGTTCTTCCAAGTATTTGAGATATCTTTTACTGATGTCCTGTATCAGTTTTGATTCAGACTGTAAGGTTATCAAATGGGATCTGGAGGCGTTATTGAAAATCTACACAGATACTTTATAGGTTACCCCAAATGATGAAAAATAAGGAAATTCAAGCTGGCTCCATTTTACTCATATCAATGGTTCCTATTACTGTAATTGTTCACTTAACACCCAACAAAAATCATGGAAATTTGCTGGTATCATATAAAATGATTCAAGTCACTAAATATTTGTCATATTTCCTCTATATGGTATAACCTGATTAGGTAGGTAGGTAGGAAAAACAGACAAAAATTATATTGCAGGATCTAATCTGGATCAGTCACTGTGACCAGAGGTTTAGTCTTCTGGGCTTTTGGACTCATGCTGGAGCCTATTCTCAGGGAACTTCTCTCTAGCAGAATGTGTTGTTTATATATAACATTTATATCCCACTGCAGCCAAAACTGGCTAACATATAATATATGCACAATAATAATTTATGTAGTACTAAAAGTAATTTTCTTTTTCTTCTATGATTTCCTTTGCTGCTGTTGCCTTCTCTATTTGTTTCTATATTACATCTCTTCTTCAGTTTCCTCTACAGGTAAAGCTTGATTTAGTAACTATAGATTGAGCAAGAATAAAAATCTCCATGATGATAGAGATAAATGAAAGAAATCTCATTTATCATTTTTATAAAAATAATCTTATAGCTGCTATATAGATATAGTCTTTATGGCAAAGATTATTGACATATTCTAAACATATGCAAAAAATTAATCCTGAAAGTTTAATTTAATTTGAAGTTTAATTGTACAGGTAAATAGTATGACATAATCCACGATCATAATTATGAAATAGATGGAATTGGATTGCTCTGTTTGGTCTCAGGTAAACATTTGAAGTGTTATCTCTTTGCATAAATTTGCATAAACAATCCATATTTACTCAGTTTGATTTAAATATTACCTCAATTTACTGAAATAAGGCTTGAAATGAAGCTATACTTAACTTGGACTCTTTTGGACAGCCAATGTTCTTTTGTATGAATTATTTATATTCTCTAATAAGTAGTTAAAAGTAAAGTTCTACATTTAGGCAAGAAAAACAAAATGCGCAGGTACAGTATAGGTAATACCTTGCTCAACAGTAGTAACTGTGAAAGGGATCTTAGAATCCTAGTGGACAACCATTTAAATATGAGCCAGCAGTGTGCAGCAGCTGCCAAAAAAGCCAACACAGTTCTAGGCTACATAAACAGAGGGATAGAATCAAGATCACGTGAAGTGTTAATACCACTTTATAATGCCTTGGTAAGGCCGCACTTGGAATACTGCATTCAGTTTTGGTCGCCCCGATGTAGAAAAGAGGTGGAGACTAGAAAGAGTGCAAACCAGGCTGTGCAAACAAGGGAAGCCCCATCCACGGGATTCAGGTACCACACAAAACTACAGAACCGGTCCGTAGTGCCCAAAAGGTTGGGGGCCACTGCTCTAGAAAGAAGAGCAACAAAGATGATTAGGGTACTGGATGCTAAAACATATGAAAAACGGTTGCAGGAACTGGGCATGTCTAGTTTAATGAAAAGAAGGACTAGGGGAGACATGATACCAGTGTTCCAATATCTCAGGGGTTGCCACAAAGAAGGAGGAGTCAAACTATTCTCCAGTACACCTGAGGGTGGAAATTAATCAAGGAGAGAAGCAACTTAGAACTGAGGAGAAATTTCCTGACAGTTAGAACAATTAATCAGTGGAACAGCTTGCCTCCAGAAGTTGTGAATGCCTCAACACTGGAAGTATTTAAGATGTTGGATAGCCATTTGTCTGAGATGGTATAGGGTTTCCTCCCTAGGCAGGAGGTTGGACTAGAAAACTTCCAAAGTCCCTTCCAACTCTGCTATTGTATTGTATTGTTACCATTCTTCAGTTCAATTTACCCTAATGGGTATTTAGGTATATATATAAATGTACACTAATGTATTTTGGTTCATATTGTAGCTGCTGTTTCATACTGTAACTGTAAATATCTATAAACTTGATGTGCCAATTCAGTTATGTACATATTCATTATAAGACATTACCAATGAGGTAAAAAAATGAGATCCTAATAATCAATAGTTGTTGTGACCAAATTCCACTTGCTTGCATTTCACACATCCATGAAATCATAATTTGTGTATGCAGAGTAATCATCCCTCCCTCCCATTTCATTGCAGTATAACAAGGAGGTATTTTTAATAATGTAGAGTTAGCTACTGAACTTTAACAGAATTTAGACTAATTACTGTTTTGATTTTTTTTGAACAGATTATTGGACATCCTCAGTACACTGTGGATATTGGAACCCATATACCTGCATTGCCAGTGCAGGTTTCCGGCATTATATCACCACCATTGCAATTGCAGCCTGAAACAATGCTGCCCTGCATTGCTTCAGATGGACTTTCACAAAGCAATCTTGGCACAACCAATTCAGCAATGTTGGCAGATCATGGATTGCCCCTTCAGTGTTCTGCTTACCCGCAATCTCAGTCAGAGAGTCACCAACTTCCTGGCCAGCAGGTTCCAACTACATGTCCAGCTGTCCCAGTAGCTTCAGAACCTCCTCAAGAGATGGTATGTGTTTTCAAATGCTACTAACTATAACAAAAATCATTAATCAAGTTAAAAGAGCTGTATTCCAATTTCATGGGTGCATTCTCCCAACTCACTTTATTTTTCTGTTTACTTCACTGTCTCCAAACTTGACTACTTTGAAATCATTTTTATTCTGTATTTGTTTTCTTTCCACATCTTTTCTTGCCCTTAACTTTTGTTGACTTGGAGTTTCAATTTTTCCAGATAGCAATAATACGTGCACTGCAGTATGTGGACACTCATGAGAGTCACTTTGGTCCAGTGCAATGGTTCCCTATATCGGGTCCACGCCCCACAGGGGGGAAATTTGATTTTTAATGGGGTCAGTTTGAACCTTGTTTAAACCAAGTTAATGGTGTTTTAGGCTTCCTCCACATGAGTAGAATTCACTTTTTGAGTAAAGTAAGAATTATATATCGCAGGAGCATCAGGATTTTAAAGATGTTTAGGTGAGGCATGGCCAAAAAAAGATTGGGAACCACTGGTATAGTGGGTAAGGCACCAACCTAGAAATCGGGAGATTGAGTTCTACTTTTGACTTAGGCATGAAAACTGGCTGGGTGATTTTGAGCCAGCCCACTCAGCCCACAATGTCAGGCTTGACCAAAAAGCTGATTTAGCAATTCCTGTTTCAACCAATGAATCAACACGCAATTGATCAAAAGAAAAGTGGTCTCTGCACTTGCAGGAAAGTGCTAGGAAGAAAAAGAAAATATATGGACATTTATACCTATGAAGAGGGCTGAACGTTTGTTAGATTTTCAATAAAACCTGATTCTCCAGATATTGCCTCCTCACATTTTTTTACCAGGAGCAGTACATGAGAATTCTCATTGGGAAAATAGCATCAGGGTCAATGTATCTAGTAATTTGCTCAGAGAAATTCTGCTCCAAAAGATCATTTGGACTGTTGGCATAAACATGGCCTCTACATATTTCTAAAGTCTTCAAATGCTCAAAATAGCTCGGTTTGTTGATAAAGTGAAAATGGCTATACCCTTATCTCAATCGTCAAAATGTAACAAATTTTGATTAAATAATTATTTCTTCTTTATAATATAGGAGCAAGCCGTACTGGAGAAACAGCAGTCACTGTCACAGAGCTGTGAAAGGTACTTTTTCTATTTGTCTATAACCTCGCATAAAGTTCTCAAACAACAAAATTACATCAATATCTAGTAAAAGAGTAAAAATCTAAAGTAATTTCTGAAATGCATACTCATTTTTTGATGGCAATTATATAGCTTTTTTTCTAAGTTCTGGTGATGAAGTGCCATCAAGTTGGTGTTAACTTTAGCAGCCACATGGATAGGTTTCTGTTTACCCAGGTCCCCAACTTAATTCTTCAGGTCTTTCAACATGGTTTAATATACCCATCACTGTTATTGCAATCAAGTCAATCAATTTTGTTGATGGTCTTTTTTTCTTTAGGTCTACCTTTTCAATAATTATAAGTCTTAATGAATCTTTGTTATTAATATTGTTCTCGGCCTTACTTCATCAAGAGTTAATATTTTGAAAACAAATACCATAATGGATATTGTCATCTCTGCTTTCAAGAATCATCTTTTTCTTCTTCTCTTCTCCCTTTACAACGCTCTACTTCATTCCATCATAAAAATATTAGGCTGATGGATACATAAAATTAGACTGAAGGATATAGAGTATCTTATATAAGACTAAATACTCTTCAAATTAAAAATAGTATGTACTGCATAATTATCATCCTTCGTGGCTGCACATCCCTTTTTGCATGGGAAATAAGAAATAGTAAGGAAGCTGTTTTTCAGACAGACTGGAAGCCTACAAAATCCAACAAATTTGTAAAAAAAATTTGAACATTTGTAAAAAAATGTTTTGGGATTGGTAACAGAGATTTATAGCAGAAAAGAAGAATCTATAAACATGTATTTCCCCATTCCACCAGTTTAATTTCTTAGCTAGATCAAAGATCTCTTGTGGAAGAGATCCACAAGAGATGAAATTTGAAACAGCTGAGTGGGTGAAACTTGGTGGGAACTTTAGGAGAAACATTTCAATCTAAAGAAGAACTTCCCATTGATGGAACAGATAGTTTAATCGGGATGGGGCCAATGTCTTAAGAACATTGAAACTGTATTTTACATGGTAGATCCATCAAAGAACAAAGGGATAGGCTACAACATCTCCACTCATTATTTTTTAAAACACTTTTAGGAAAAGTAGCAAAGATATTTCAGTAGGGAGAAATCATTATTTTCTTTTCTGCAGATCTAGAATGCTGAATAAACTGAATCAGTTTCTTTTAGATACTTAAGATTAGAGTTTTCAATGGAAGTTTGATTAAAGTTGTGCCCATCACATTTTACTTTATTTTATGTATGTTACTTTACAAAATCCATTATTCCCAGAGTCTTGCATCCATGTAGTAAAATGACATAAATAATAGGTTTATTTAAAAACCTTTCTTATATCTAGCATCATGATGTTAGATAAGGTCAATCTTTGCTGATAAATGTCTTGATTAGTTTGTGTTATTTTGTAGACTTTTAAAGTAGTTCTGTATGCTAGTAATATTTTGTCTTTTTTTAATTCCTGCTTTGTCATCTTACCACAAAAGTTATATGAGTCCTGATGTTGCTTCTGGTAAAGAAATGAGTGACAGTTTTGAAGGAACAAGTGGAGGTGGGAAACAAGAAGGAAAACCTTCAAAGAAACATAAAAAATCAGCACGTGCTCGTTCACGTCAGGAAAAATCAAATAGGCCGAAGCTTACCATTTTAAATGTAAGACTCCTTCCTTTGCTTAGTTTCTAAACTATCAATTTTATTGTATTAGATATAATGATCGGCTCTTTTTACAGGTGTGCAATACAGGGGATAAGATGGTGGAATGCCAACTAGAAACACACAATCACAAGATGGTCACTTTTAAATTCGATTTAGATGGTGATGCACCAGAGGAAATTGCTACATATATGGTAGGATTTTTTCTTGGTTTAAGAATATTAAAATAATGTTGACATTTCAGTTTCATAAGTTGCATGGATGACAGTATTATTTGTATAGCTACAAAAAATATTTCCAGTCTTTTGGAAATTAACTGTTGTAGTAAAATTAATTTCTCACTAATGTTCCTTTTAGTCTTTGCAAAAGGGAATTAGTTTACAATAGTTACTTTAACAAACAATAAGTGAATCACTACTTTTAATTTTTGTTATTTGGAATATTTACCATGTAATAGCACTTAACAATAGCACTTAGACTTATATACCGCTTCATGGTGCTTTTACAGCCCTCTCTAAGTGGTTTACAGAGACAGCATATTGCTCCCAACAATCTGGGTCCTCATTTTACCCACCTCAGAAGGATGGAAGGCTGAGTCAACCTTGACTCAACAATTGTAGCCTTCTAATTTATTGGTAACAATCTGTCATCTCAATTAATTGGCTCTAGTAAGATCAAAGCAATTAAATTACCATAATGAGACAATAATGTTCTGTGAAATGCCTCCTGAAGCAGTTATTTACTGTTTAATTGAACTAAGCACAACATTTGTTTTTCTGCATGTAAAAATTTATGTTTTTTAAAAAAAAATGGATAAGCAATCAGGTAAAAGAGCTGTAGAAGAAACACAGAAAAATTGCTGTTTTTTTTAAATTGTGTATTCATATAGGTTGAAAATGAATTTATACTACCAACTGAGAAAGAGATATTTATTGAGCAACTGAAAGAAATTATTGACAAAGCAGAAGATATGCTTAGTGAAGATACTGAAGGGGAACGAAGTTCTGATCAAGGTGTCAGCCCTCAACAAGATACCTACAAGCTTGAAAGCAATGAGGTATTTAAATAGAATAAATATATTTAATGTTTCAACTACTAAATGTTTCAAACAATAAACTTTGCAAACAATCAATATTTAATATAACTTACTTATGTCCTTCACCAGTTATTTCATCCCTGGTGAAATAAACCATTCCTGTTTGGGATGGATTGGAATGATGAGACTTGTGGGTCCAACAGATTACTTATATTAGTTGGCATGCAAAGAAGTATTTAATTATTTTTATGCTAGAATATTGATTTTTTTTGTTGATGAATTTGAGCAGATTCCAAATGGAAGTACTTTGATAAGCATTAGTAACACACTTCTTTCATTTTAAATAGGAGAATCGCCAATCCCATGCAAGAGCGCCCATCTACCAACAGAATGGTAAAAGTATTCTTTGAATATGCATGTGTATCATCCAACACTGTAAGGCAGCGTATCTCAATCTCAACAACTTTAAGATGTGTGGACTTCAACTCCACAAATTCTCCCAGTAAATTTCACACATCTTAAAAGCTGTTGAGGGTGAGAAACGCTGCTGTAAGTTAATACTTTGTTATACTAATGACATATTTTAAGATTGTGTCAAAGTCAGCCAGCCCTGAACACGCTAATTTTCTGTGGCAATGCATTTCTTCAGAGATGTTTTTTTTTTGTTGTTCTATGCCAATTTCTGTGATGAGAGTCTTGGCAGAAAATAAAATGTGCAACTTAATTTGGATGAGTCTATGAATAGCTTTACATTTGTCTCTCATATTGGCCGTCAAACTTTAATTTTGCAGAATGAACTTCAGTCATTAATCTTCATTTGTTTTATTAACAGACATTATTTTTAAATATGGTATCTGTCAACTCTGAAGCGAACCTGGCTGAAGCCATCTTTTGCTGCCTCATAGTTGCCATGAACCATGACAGGGGAAAGGGAGGCGGGGAGATAGACTGGCTAACTGTCAAAACAAAAACGTTTTCCTGTGGGAACCAAGGTTATCTTAACAGGTGGCTGTTGAAAGAGGAGAGGAGTGACCAAGCAGCCTGCCAGCTATATTCATTGGACAATGTGACCGGTGACATCTGGGAGGGAAACTTTTGCTCTTTCAAAAGCCGCGGAAACTTTAAGAGTTGGTTTTCACTGGCTGTGCCAATATGATGTATCCAATAAACATGTTTTATGAGGAATCTATCTGCCTCGGAGTTCTGATTTCAATGGATGCGTTACTCGGCATGCTGACAGTATCACGTTACATTACATCACATCACATTACATTATGCAATATAATGCAGTACAGTATGCAATAATGGACTTTTGGTTAATTGTTGGTACAAATGTTTCTTCCTTTTAATATTTCCTGTTTTTAGTTCTACATACTGGAAAACGTTGGTTTATCATTTGTCCCGTTGTGGAAAATCAAGCTGCTGAAGTACCAGAAGTCTCTCCTCATGTGCCTCAAAGTGCAAAGCAGTCTGATGCCCCAGGTATCTGTGAGGTTTTGATATTTTTTTAAAAAAAATTCAAGCTGCTTTTAAAGGGAAGGAAACAAGGAAAAATATGTACAAACTCATTTATTGATTAATGCAATTATGTATACCTGCTTCATTTTTCTTCTCAAGTGAATGCTTATACAATTCTGGTCTAAATTGCCATTGTAAGTAAAGGGCTATCTGTGTGGCTAGCAGCGATTAATATGCAATGTACAAAAAGAATTACATAACAGTCAACGTTGAAAGTAATCAAGAATTAAAGGTATCATGAAAAAGATACAGAAAGACTAGGGATTAAATGTAATGCCTGGGACACTTGCAAATGAAGGACCTCTCCTAATTGCCTTGGGAAGAGAGACATCTTCAGAAGGTTTCTTTTTCAGAAAACTCTGCACAACTCATAATGGGAGAGACAGTTCTTCAGATAATAAAATTCTTGAAATTTTAGAGCTTAACACAATTGCACAAATTATGCTCAGCATAAAAGTTTGAACTAATGCAAGGATAATGAGATCACGTTAACAACCTATCTGTTTTCTTCTTTACAATGTTTCAAGGGTAGCTTCACATGAAATATACTGTAGGGGTGAAAACAGGATGCAACTGAAGTGTGAATCTGGCTCAGAAAGGATTGCAGCTGGTGTACCAGCTGCAATTATACCACCACACTTTTGGCAGCAGCAACTATGTATGAGTCATATTGTCAAAATGAAGATGTATACTTTCAGGATGAATGCAGTTCCAATAAAAATAAGCCGAGTGCTGTCCCCAAGTATTGGAGTTCTTTAACTATGGGTTGAGCAAAAAGTGGGTGTACACAAAATTTAACTTCTATTAGAAGTTCCTTCCATTCTACCTAAATAAATCAACATCTGGCTGGTCCATACAACTCTACTGCAAGTTCTAGCAGAGCTCCTTTAAAAAATATATCATTGTATTGGCACTTAAAGTTCCATTAAAAATATTTTTGCATTGATCACTACACCACTAAAATAGAAGATCAGTTTGGGAAATAAGATTGGCATGCTAAGATCAGATGCTGAATGTATAAAAGAAAAGAAACTGAGGAAGAAGATGACCAAAGAATGCTTGATCAGTTCCAATAATAATAGGTGTCTTGGGTTCAATTCCAAAATCTCTAGAGCATCAACTGAACACCATCAACATTGACAAATTGTTGTCAGTCAATTACAAAAAGCAACTTTATTTTGAATAGCTTACATCAGGCAATAATGCAACAACAATTAACATTATCAAAAACAATAACATCTGCCTCCCTCTGGCCCTTGGGAAGGATTTGATAAATGGACATAAAATGTCAAATCCAGTCTAAATACCTGGCTTATTGTGTGACCAACCATAATAATATTGGGCAAGCAGATGGACTGCAAACAAACAAACAAAGAAATCAATTAAATAATTAATCAAACATAGTACAAACACAGAAGTACCGAGACAAAATTAATCTCTGGAAATGCACATACTTATAACCCTTTAGTTTAAAAATACCTTAAAAAATACAAGAACACACTCCTTTAGCTATCAAAGCAATGATGTCATCCTATGGCATATAGATTCTAGAAAAGTCCATTCATGTATATTCATGAGAGAATGAGAGTAAAAAAAGGCACATAATAGCTATGTTTATTATGAAACTAATTTTTATCTTGTGGATCCCTGGAAAGGGTGTCAAAGATTCCCAACAAGTACTGCATTTTGAGAACTGCTGTTTTAGAAGAAAATATTTATTTCAATCATTTAATAGCTATGATGATTGAAATAGTTGGCAGAATTACTTCATTGTGAGAATAAGTATCATCACCTTTCTGCAAAAAGTACCCATTTATGGACATTATCCTGAATCAGTTTTATTTTAGATGTGTAGATGTAATTGAAATTCTCATCATATAAATGACTTTTAAAGTTTTATATAATACACTGAATGCCTTGATATTAATTTTGATTTTCCAGTTGGTCAAAATGGGACAGGCTATTATGGTTAATAGCCAATACAGCGCAGTAGAGTTGTGTTAGAAAAATCACTAGGATGATCTGTCATATTCAGTGCAATTAAGCATGTATAATTGTTTGATCTAAAATAATTTAGATGAAAAAATATTTCATCTTTCTTAATTTCTTTGGGAAAATGGCTAATGCTCAATGCTTGTGGAAATCTTTGTATAAGTATTTAGATTTTACGGTAATTTTCTGAATTCAGAAACATCCTTTTGCTTTTGTTGTTTATAGGTCTGGAGCTGTTGGATGATCAGCAACGGAGCTCTGCAGTGACAGAAAAACAAACAAGCATAGCTTATCAACATATTTCTAATCAACTGAGCTCCAATGAGTGTCCCAGGGGAACTCCTCCTCCTTCTTTAACACAAGTTTCTGTTCCATCTTCATTAACTTCCCTTTCACAGGTCCATCCAATGTTAGCTTCAACCACATTAGAAAAAATTCCTGAACGTATAAGTCACCTAGAATGCCCTTTGCCACAATCAGTCTTAGCCAGTCGGGTTGACATCCCTGCCCATACTACAGCTACATCTGAAGAACATTTCGAGGATAAGGTCTCTCTAAATACCTCACAGTACACAGTACAAAAGAAAGATGAGAAAATTTGTTTTCCCAATATAGAACATGAACACAGCACAGCTGGACTGCCAAAACCATTTCAGTCTGTTCCTGTGCAGACAACAGAAAGTTCTTTCCCTGTCATCTCTGATGCTCCTGTTTTGGAACTTCAGTCTTCAACCCAACCCCCCAGTTTGTCAGACAATATTCAGCTTGGCCAGATATCACATTCTTTTGTAGACCAGATACCTCCCATGCCTGCTGTCTCTGAACTTCCGGTATCAGAAACATCTCAACTTTCAAGTCCTCCTCACCTCTCAACAGCTGTATCCCAATTGCATATGCCAACCCAGTCCCAGCCGGTTGCATCCACTGGCTCTGCCGTGACTGCAGCTCAACCACCTTCTATGGTAGAATCAGATGGTGAAGGGCCACCAAGAGTTGATTTCACTGACAACACAATAAAAAGTTTGGATGAGAAACTTCGCAACCTGCTGTATCAAGAGTATATTCCAACATCATCTGCTTCAGCAGCAACACCAGACCAAGTGGATGGTGAATTTAATTTGGCACCTTTTTCTGCGCTTGTATTAGATTTGAAAATACCTGGCGTTGGCTTGGATGCTCACATGGTGGAAAATCAACCCTCTCCAATTCTGGCAAGTCAAACCATTCATTTAGAAATCATGCAGATGCCTATTAAAACTGCTGTAATTCTAATAGATATTTTCAACAGTGGTCCTGTTGCTGACTTCTAAGGGCCAAGCTATAATTGTTACCTATCAGTACTGAGGTACTAACAACCCACCCCCCCAAAAGATTTCTTCCATTTTTTTAAAAATGTAAATCTTCCATTTTTCCAAAAACTTTATTAAAAAAAGAAATCTTCTTTGAACTCAGTGTTATTGAATTAATTTTAATATATTAAACTAAAAGATGATTAAAGGCATCATTGCAAAATAAGCAAATAAGGGGTGAATTGGAGCTCAGCCTTATTTATTTTATTGACCTGAAGAGAAACTATATATCATGGCAGAATTTCCTTTTCACATAAAGTTGGTATTTTTTGACTGAAGTGGTATAGAGTTTCCTGCCTAAGCAGGGGGTTGGACTAGAAGATCTTCCAGGTCCCTTCCAACTCTGTTGTTCTATTCTATTTTTCTCACTATGGCCTTTATTAATGTTTTACTACATCTGATGTGAATGAAGGCCAGTCATATTATGTCACATTTAGTAGCCAAATACAATAAGTGGTTTTTCACACTAGATTCTAAAATACTCTTGATAAAAATGTACTTCATGAGTAAAAAGCATAATAGAGTTTATACCAGTTGAAACAAAAGAATATAACTTTCTTTCTCTTCCAATATTATAATTCCAAATTGCAACAATTCACTCATCTCTATTGTATTGGCAGAAAGTCTAGATAACGCATTTCGTCAGTATCCAAGAAAAGGTATAAGCACCGTAAAGAACTCCATCTTCAATTAATTTTTTAAAGTACATTAGTCTCAGAATGTCTTAATTCAGTGAATAGATGTATGTCAAACTTTATAAATATTTAACAAGAGAATATTCCAAGTTCTGAATCTTCAGGCAATAAAGAGAGCCTGAAACAAATCCCTGGAATTGCTCAAGGAATCAGAAGATTTCCCAGTGGTTAGATTACTTATTAAACATCTGGCCCACAGAAGTAGTCCAGAAGGAAACATGCCTTACAAATGCTTTTCATATTTTCTGGACCTCATAAAAAAAGCAATAAATTATTAATAAAGGAAATGCTTCAGAATGGAAAGTATTCAGTCCAATCCTTACAATCCTGTACTGGGGATGCATTCAGATGCACACATACATACACACAAACATTCACATACTTCATTGGATCTTTCAAATATATATCTGTTATTCTATCTCTCCCTTTTTCTAATTGTTCTTAAGTTCAGACGCTGAAATTCCTGGCATACTTTTTGACTTGTCTTCAGATTCATGTTAGTCTTCCGGAGTTCCAGTATTCTACTGTTGTAACTTCTTACAAGACTTGTTTGTAGTAACCTGTGTATCTAGGGTATCTTACTGATTATGTGATTCATCTCATGAGCTCAGTCTTCAAGAGTACCGGTATATGCTTTCTTTGTGACCTATAGAGCCCTAGGATTCTAGTTAACTTTTAAAAAATCTACAGCTTCTTTCCTAATAGATCATACATTTATATAACATCCACAAAGAAGCAACACTATTTATTTTTGGTCCAGAATGCAGCCGCATGAGCGATTGTGGGTGCGCCTCAGTACACCCACGTTACACCTATCCTCCGCGAGGTGCACTGGCTACCTATTGGTCTCCGGATACGCTTCAAGGTGCTAGTCGTCACTTATAAAGCCCTACATGGTATTGGACCTGGGTACTTGAGAGACCGCCTCCTGCCAATTACCTCCCATAGACCCATTAGATCCCACAGATTAGGCCTCCTCCGAATTCCATCTGCCGGCCAATGCCGGCTGTCGACCACCCGGAGGAGGGCCTTCTCTGTGGCTGCTCCGGCCCTTTGGAGATTCGGACCCTCGTCACCATTCAGGCCTTCTGGACCGCCGTTAAGACCTGGCTGTCCCAGCAAGCCTGGGGTTGAGTTCCCCCCCTACTCAAATTTGCTGTGCTTGCTGTGCTTGCTGTGTTTTTTAAATCGTTTGTATCGTTGTCCTGTTTTTGTCTTACTTTTCTGTATTTGTTCCCCTTCCCTTGGTTTTTGTTCAGCCGCCCTGAGTCCCTTTGGGGAATAGGGTGGCTTACAAATCGAATAAATCCAATCCAATCCAATCCAAAGAAAGGAGAAAAAAATTATGCATCTTCAGTTACGTGGCTAGTTTCCTAGAAATCATCATTATCAACTTGACATATCTAATGTGGACCCAAATATAATTTACATCTCCAGTATGTTTTCAAAAACAGATTTGCATCTAATAGAGCTCCTTTTACAATATATGATAACTTTCTTGGTCTCTAAATGTGCTCGATCATGTGCTCAAGGATTTTCCATTTCAAAGCCAGACAGTAATGTCTAGATATGAGACTCAGGCTGGCAGTTAGTGATGGCTAAAAATTACCCAGTAGAAAAATATCCCTTACTATCTTCTTTCTGAAGGTCCAGTATTTTCTCCTGACCCAAGATGCATAGAAGCTAAGAAGATGCTATGTGTTGAGTCATCCTGTAAATATGTGCATAGTGTCTTAGCTAGCAAGAGATAAATTCCTCCTAAATCTTTTCAAATGTTCAGTATCCCATCTTCCTCTATTCAGGTTCTGAAATCTGCCTTGACAAAACATGAAAGCATATGTATTGAAATGTGTGTGCATATATCTGTAATATTGAACACATGCTGGTCCGCATAGAAAAGTTCTTCAGATATGAGTGTATTGTTGAACATTTTGAATAATTTAATGGCCCAGTGATTGTAATCCATACTTATGATTGTTTTAAATATGACATAGAAAATTCAAAAAAGAAGGGAAAGGAACTTATTTGAGCATTTAGCAAACTAAAATTCTTTAACCAAAGTTAAAGCTTGGACCTGACAAAGAATAATACAGATAGTCCTTGACTTAGGACCACAATTGAGCCCAAAATTTATGTTGCTGAGTGAGACATTTGTTAAGTGAGTGTTGCCCCATTTTACAACCTTTCTTGCCACACTTGTTAAGTGAATTGCTGTAGTTGTTAAGTTAGTGACCTGATTATTAAGTGAATCAGGGGTTTTACTCCTGACTTTGCTTGTCAGAAAGTCACAAAAGGTGATCACATGACCATGATATTGCAATGGTCATAAATACGGGTCAGTTGCAAACATCTGAATTTTGATCACCTGATAATGGGGAATGTTGCAACAATTTTAAGTGTGAAAGTAATAAATCATAAGTCGCTTTTTCAATGCAGTTGTAACTTTAAACGGCCACTAAATGAACTGTTGTATCGAGGATTCCCTGTATATTTTGGACATCTCAAACATAAAGCTTTTCTCTCAAATATACACGGATGTACTGTATGTCAAAGATGAAATCATTATTATGAAATTAATCTTAAGGCCAAAGTAAATTACGCATACAAATATGTGTACTAACATGTCCATGTAATTTTTTTAAAACCATGTTTGCAATTATTTTTCTACTGCCAAGAGTTATATGGTTATGGCACTTTAGAAATCAAATAAATGTACTACTTCCTGTTTTCCCTAATTTTAATGTAACCACATGTGGTACAGTATGAGCTAGAAACATGTGAAAGAAGTCCACCCCCAAAATAAGAAGAAAAGGAAAAACTGACTCTTTTGCATGTCTTTTTTCTAGAAGGCTATTCTGCAGTACTGTGAACTTGGAGTAATAAAAATCAGAAGAGGGACTGTATAATAACAAATTTTACATATCATTTAGGTTGAGAAAGCAGTCATCATATAATATGGATTCTATCAGAAAACAGAAGTTTATATGAAACAGTATTTAACAGACTAAACATTAACCATGTGGTGTCAGAAGGGAATGAAGTGTTCAAACAGTGAAATGCAAATCATTGACTTAAGAGTGATTTGCTTTAAGATGAAATATAAAAATAATTTTAGAGTTTATATATTTCCATATAGATTCCAACCTTGCAAGATTATTTTAAATTGTTAAATTTTGCTTATAGGTAGAACAATCTGATGTTACATGCACCGGGATCCAGCATTCAGAAATAAACAAAGCAGGTAGTAGAGCATAACTTTAATGTTCATTTTTCTTTCTAAATATCCATATGAACAACTATATGGTAGGTTATTAGATATAATTATTAAGAAAACTAGGAATTAGTGAATGTGTGTACCACAATAGCAACACAGACTGTAGTAATTTCAAGATAAAATTTAATATGCAATTCTCATGAAACTTTATGGATATTTATGATGATAATTTTAATATATGAAATGTTAAATATGAACACTATATAAATAATGCTTTTATTTCTGATTGGTAAGCCAAGCCATATAAATTATATGGATATGGTTTAAACAACATGATGTATCTTTTCCATATTTGTATACAAGCGCATTATTGAAGTAATTTTGTCCAGGAAAATTGAATGGGCAAATTGGGAAACCATGATTTTCTTCCCTATAGTATATGTGGAAAGCAGGGAGGCATTTTTACCGGAACTGATTTTAAGTAGAAAAATTTGAAATGTCACTGTTTTTGATTAGAAGATCAAATATCATTTTTCTGTGATGCAATATTTTATCAACAATATTTTATACTGAATAATGATTGTAAGAAACAAATACCTTATTTTTTTTAAGACTTCTTAATAGATTATATTAGGCATTGCATAGAATTCTCGAAGATAGATCATGTTTAAAACCATATGCATATAATTGAAATTATAATCTTTGTGGTGATATCAAGCATTGGATTTATGATTTATGTTTAATTCATGTATATCTGACTTATAGTCTTGAATACAACAGTGAAACTAGAGTTATAGCCTTTGATAATTTTATTAAATAAGAATTTTTCATATTTAACTTTTGCCTTGCTCTAAAATTTACCAATCCAGATATATGCATGTTTTCTTTTTTGTTTGTTGTTTTCAATATATTAAACAGGTCAAGATGTAAATGTCAGTTCACCTACTGCTATCCTAACATCAGGATACACTCAGGTACTGTTATCTTATATTGGTTTTTTTTCCTACATCTTATCCCATTCCTCAGACAATTGCAGCTAATGAAGGCCACTATTTTCCTATAAAAATAATGTTTAAGGGCAGGTAAGATGTTAACCAACTAAGCCTTTCTTTCATTTGTTATTTCAGGTTGTTTCTTCTTCACTTACAGCAGACCAGAAGGACATTGCCAAGAAAAACAAATATGAAAAGGATGGTTCTATAGACTCCAATGTCAAAGAAGCAGAAACACCAGCAAAAACTATAGGCAGATTTTCAGTGATCAGCACTCAGGATGAATTAACTTTATCATCTGTGCATTGCTTGAGGTATTCTGCACCCCCAGATGTTTATCTGGACAATCAACCTTCTAGCCCTGATATAAAGTCATCTCTGCGCCGTGTGCAGACAGCTTCCTCTTTTGATGTCCTTTATGGAAAGGATTCCAGTGATTCTGGAGATGAATCTTTTCCAGGAAAACAAGATGGGTCTCCAATGTCACCTCAGATCAGTAGACTGGGAAACGACATTAAAAAGACTTCTTGTAATCTCCAAAAGTCAGTAAAGTCAAGTTCACAGGGCCTTAATTCTCCAAATGGTCATGGATCAAAAATCCCAACTATCAACATAACTTCTTTCCATTCTCAGTCATCATATGTGAGTAGTGACAATGACTCAGAGTTTGAAGATGCAGACATGAAAAAAGAATTGCAGAGCCTGAGAGAAAAGTATGTTTCTGTTTTATCGAACCGAGGGTTTTGGGAATATGTGTTTGAGCAGCTTATACAAATACCCTTTGACATCTTTTGTCATTTGTTCCTTTCTTTTGAAAGCATTTATCTCAAGTTGTTTTATGCATTTGATGTACAATATTCTTTCCACGTTTTGGTTCTCATTGTGTTGATAAAAAAAACACATTTTTCAGTAAAGAAAAATTGGAAATCAAATATTTTATGAGACAAAAGTGGCTTTATTCACCAAGAGGCATTTTAATTGCTTCAGAACTGCAAAATAAATTGTATTCATATCAAGGACATCATATACTTAGGAATCTTTTTTTTCCAATCAGTTACCCCTTGGAAGAATCAAATAAAAGATAGTACTACTTGAGCCAAAAAATACTTTTAGCAATATAATTTGTTTTGCTAATTGAAGTGGCAATAATTTTGTCCCAGATATAGTAAAATTATTTAAGACAAAGGTATCCTTTGTCTATAGAAGACACATGAACTTTTGAGGCAACCCAGTCTAAATGGTTAAGAATAATGTTTTGTGTTTTCTATTGTCTTGCTTTTCTGTGGCTTTTCTGTGCTTCCATTGAGGCTTATTTGAGAATTTTTTTGATTAAAGTATTGGTAAACTAGACTTCGTGAAAGAGTCTTTGGAATAGATAATTCCTAGGCTCTTTATTTTTATTCATTTATTATTAAATGTATACATTGCCCATCTCACTGTCCCACCTGGAAGAAATGTATGGTCTTGGATTTAAATTATTGTGGCTTTTCCATCTAAGTCTAGATGATGCTAGCGCTTGAGAAAGCCACATATACACAAGAACAGGGACCTTGATTTACAAGAGAGAGATGAATAAAGCTCCATATTATTGCAATTCCAACCTCTATAATGAACTTTGATTTTGTCCAGTTACTTTTACAACACCTTCTCATCTCACATCATCTTTTCTGTTGCACTAACCTATGCATCACCAATGGTATTTTGAAGAAATAACACCCTTGTTAATTAAACTTATGGATTAGCTTGAAGAGATGAATTCTTTCTTATTGTGAACAGATTTATCCATAAACAATTTATGGATATATGTTACATAAGTATTTATGTGATTGCATAAGACTGCAGGCTTTACATAGAAAATATCTGCAGACTGTTTTTCTGCTGTTTGTACATATTGTTATGCATTCTATTAATTTCTTGATTTTTGTTTCGTTACTATCTTAATCGCCCATTTTGTTTTTTGATTGTATATCATTTAGTTGGTGTAATATTTTAGCAACAGCATAGATAGACCTTCATGATGGCCTGTCTTCAATCTGGCCCCTAAAAATCTTAAAAAACTGTTACTGGTACAATTGAATCCATCCACCATGTTGTTGGTTGTCCATATTTCCCAGCATTATGGGCTTCTCAAGTCTTACCATAATGTGCCTTGAGTGAGACTCTATTGATTTGTCTTATAATCGGTTTCCTTGTTTTTTTATTCCCATTCTTAGCTGTCTTTTCCAACATTAACATTGAACATTACACTTTCTGTCTTGCTTCTACAAAATGCTCTCCCCCTTTTTTGTTTCCATGGAAAATAAAGAAAATTATTGCCATTATCATTTTGAATGTTGCGGGTACCAGCATTTCATGACATCCAAGTATCTTGCAAGGTCTTCATTGATACCTTGTCAACTGCCGATCTATGGCATATTTCTTGATTGCTGGTTTCTTTATTGTTAATTGCTGATAGTTGATCCTAAAAGGTAAATGCTATCTTTAGTATCAATTTTTAGATTGGTTGCTGAACCTATTATCATTAGTCTTGATCTGACTATATTTAATTTTAGTTATATTTTTTTCACTTTTGTTAGTAGAATTTCAGTTCATTTTTATTTTCAGACATCCAAGCCTAGCGCAAGTTTTGATTGACTCAGCTGCATTGTATTTTGTACTTTAATCTTTATTACTTTTGATACAATTTAATATTAATAAATGATTATTATTTATTGTTTGCCTTTAATGACAAGTCTCCTTTAAGTTGAACTGAACTGCTGATGGCACATATGGCCACATTGTTTTCTTATCAGCAATACAGAAGTGATTTCTTTTTTCGGAGATGGTAGTATACAAGCTTGGGACTTCACAATCTATCTTATAGCCTTCATATTACCTTTGGATTTTTCATCCAAGTATTACCCAGGTCTACCCTATTTAGCTTCTGAACTTAAAGTACTTCCTCTTGATGAGAGAACATCACTTACTAATGCATGAAACAAAATCATTAGTATTCTTGGGGCAAAATTTAAAAGTCTCTAGTCTTCTGGTTCTTGTTTCAGTTTTTCATGTTTCAAACTCTTTTTTCTGAGTTTCTCTATTTCTTATTCATTAACCATATTGCATTTGAAGGAAGTAGGTGTTTCCTTGTAACTATTGCATTTTGTGCTGTGCCATTGTTACCTTTTAAAAAAATAATAATTTATAGTAAGATAGATTATTCTTCTGGTTCCTCTACCAAAAACTTCTGTATATTATTTGAATTATTCTTTATCCTGTGTGGTGTAGCCTTTTCTTGAATCTTTTGCTGTGTCATGCTGGTCCTTTCACTATATTTAGCACTTGGCTGTCAAAACAATTTGCTATTCTCATTGTTTTAGTCATGCAACTTCTTAAAATATATATGCTAGCTTCTTCACTCTTCCTGAATGATTCATAAGCTTGCACAAATGTGCCTTCTTTTTCATCATAGAGGTGGTTTTCGTATTAGGACCATAAGCCATGTTGAAAGCCACCAATCTTCATTTTGAAATTTATCTCCTGCAATGTCATTTTTTTAAAAAATGTTTTGATAATGATGTGATCAAATGCATATTCTAATATATGTTCTTAGAAATAGAGAGGTCTTAATTTAAGAGTTACTTTCAATGTTTTCATGTTTATTCTTCAGACACATGAAAGAAATTACTGAGTTGCAGTCCCAACAGAAAAAAGAAATAGAAGCTTTGTACCTTCGTCTGGGAAAACCACTACCACCCAATGTCGGATTCCTTCATTCTGCTCCACCAAGTGGCCGCCGAAGAAGAACAAGCAAGCACAAATTAAAAACTGGGAAATTGCTAAACCCCGTTGTCCAGCAGCTCAAAACATCAAGTACAAGTATGTTTACAAGTGATATTTTTCTTTTAGCATACATCCAGTGAAAGTTTCAAATTGTTTGATTATTTTGGGGAGATTTCGTTTTTGTTTTTTGAAGTTGTATTGTTCAATCAAAGGAAAAGGGGTAAAAGAACTATAGTGTGGCTTTATTTGTTCTTGGCTTTCGTGGGGAAGAGAATTAACTTAGGTTGAACCATTAAACACAACTTACCAAACCATGTTAAACCTTTGGCGTAAGTTCCTTTCATTTTTATTCTATGATTATGTCTCATTTATTTACATTGTACAAAATATTGTTAGGATGATTCTTGAGTTTGGTGCATTACTTTGCAGTATGAAAGCTTTTCTTTTCATTCTTTAAAAATTCAAAATAATTAAAATTATGTGAAACATAGATTTGATGGAGTCACCAATATTAGTGTCCATGACATCACATTAGACACATTGATGCTACACTATGGATAAAAATTGTAAAACTATAGCCATTTTATATATAAGGAGAATTGATAGGAATGGTTGATTCTCTGCAGCTGGTTTTCTGAACATGTATGGATTTTGATCAATTAAAAATCTTTAGAATTTTTGAAGTTTTCTTCAGATAATGGTTTCAGATTCTTTTATTGCTTTCAAGCTTAATGATTTTTGCATACATCCTGTTTAGGCAATATATCAGAGCATAAAGACCCTTTGGCTAAGGGAAGCACTAGAGCTCAAACAGACTCTACTGAAGCAACAGGACTGACTGTGTCCACATCAGCCATACTTGAGAGCTCAGTTCAGACTCAGCAACCTTGTTCTGTCAAGGCTTCATTATCCTCTGACATTTGCTCTGGAGTAGTTTCTGAAGGAGGTGATGTCCGTGGAAATTCTGGACAAGGTGATTTTATATCTTCAGAATCATCTTTTACTCTATGTTTAAAACCAGTCATTTTTCCACAGGAGAATGAAATATGTGTTAAAGTGAGAAAAGAAAGTTTAAGGCTTTCTTTTTAACTTGATACACTGATTAGATTTTTAAACCACCTTTCCTCAGGACCTCGTGGTGGTATATATAGCACTACATGCTCCATTTTTTCCTCACAACAGCAACCTGTGAGTTAGGTTTAGCTAGAGAGAATGTCTAGCCCAACCTCACCAAAAAACATCATCTCAGAATATTGATTCAAAGCCTGTAGAAATGATGCTAACTGTGATACAATTAGAAAAGTTGCTGATGTAAATCTAATAGGAATTTCACTAACAGTGCAAGGGAGTAGATGTCTAACTTGCTGGTGTTCATTTTGAAAATGAGCCATGAGAGGAAAATCAGTAGAGTACAAATGCAAAAAGCAGTTAAGGAAGAACCAGTTAGAGCATAGAGCACTTAAAAAAAAGATCAGTAAAATTGTCCATTGTAGATTGAAATTATTTGCAAACAGAGAAGCTGACTCCTTTTTTTATCTTGCTTCATATTCTTTGGTTCTCTTTAAGACCCCATCCTTTCCTGCAGATGCAGAAATTTTTGGATTAAACTGTATTACTGGCCTGCAAAAATGTAATTCAGAAATAATTACTCTTTAAGCACATGGCATAAATTTTGGCTTCATTAGAAAGTCTACTACCTTCAGTAGTAGCACTGTTACCTCTCATGGCAGAGCTTCATCGTGGTATGGTAGCAGTAGAGTCCTTACACAGCTGCAAAGTGTTGGGAAGATTCTAAATGGTCGCCTCTGGTTTTGCATGCTCTGCCCAACTAATCCTATGAAGTATCTATTTTCTTCTGCTGTTGTTTTCACACCCTTTTGCTTATAGCCAATGAACTTACTCCTCTGGGGCAAGGTTAAAATGGAAGTGTGGATGATTAACTAACAAAGCTGATATGACTGATGGTGACATCTAATCGCAGCTATTTGTACTTTATAAGTGTCTTTGTTTTCTTCCCTTTATATTCATTTGCAGGCTGGACGGTTTTCCACCAAACGTCTGAGAGAGTGACCTATAAATCTAGTAGCAAACCTCGTACCAGATTCCTCAGTGGACCTGTGTCTTTGTCCATCTGTTTGTATTTGTTCTTTTGTATTTTATCACAGCCCATCTTTCTTTTGTCATCTTTTTCGAAACTCATTTTCATCGATTTATCTAATATGCTTGGCAGGAAGCCCCTTCTTGTAGACAATCACTCCCCTCCTCCCTTTTTTTAAAGTAATCATCTTGATTTAATTTATTTTGTTTCATATGGAAAGCTTTTGAACACTGCTTTTGGCTCATGCCTGGGTATCAAAAGCATGTGTGGAAGATCTCATCAATTTATTCTATAGTCTTATGGTAAATTCTTATCTTGGACGTATCTTTATGTGATTTTGCGTTGGAGTAATTTTTAATTTGCAATGTGACAGTTATAAATGTCCGCTGTCCTGATTCTGGTGATACCAAATCGAAACCCAGGCTTCTGTAGACGAATGGTCTCTTTCACACATGCTTGGACTATGAAGACATGCATGTAGCAAGCTGATACAATTCTAGAAGGTCACTGAAGGGTAGAACGTCTGCACAAGGGCTGTATTCAAACAATATACAGTACTGTTTATATCCACTTTGTTGTTGTTGTTGTTATTGTTGTTATTATGTTATTTCTCCTGTCCCTTGCATGTAGAAATGCTGAGAAATGCTCCTGCTAGCTCTTTAACACCATCTTTTCTAGGCAGCATTTTCCCCCCATATTGTGTACTTTTGGGTTACTTTAAATGAATTTTCTTAAATGTGGTGGTTTGGTTATCACCAAGTACAATATGGCTTTTATTAGACATTCATCTAGCTGGAGCACTTTACTCAGTTAATTTTTTATTATGACCTTATGTGACCTCAGAGATGAAGTCAACAAGCAGTTCATCAAAGCACAGAATAAATTAAAGTTCCTAATGCCACTCTCAGAATAGTCTATTGATATCATGTCCAGATGCAACTAAAACTAGACTGTTCTTGATTGTATGATTATACGAATTGGCTATTCAACCAGTTGTCACAAATATTTATTTTTAAGTTTGTTTTTGTAAAACAAATGCTTATTATTAGGCAAAATACTTTGGGATATTTTGGTACAATAAGGCTATATTGTACTAATGAGAAAAATCTAGGCCATAGTTACAAGTAAGATAAAATAGTGCCAATATATAGAGATATTTATATTTAGTTAACATTCAGCAAATTCAGTATTCATTTTCATCAAACTTTTGTCATTGGAACTATACATCTCTATCATTATTACAAGGGTACAAATCAAAGGCACAAAGCTACTTAAAATTCATCCTTCTTGCTCTCCATTTTCAATAAAATAATGTCAACATTTTTAGAGTTAACAATGAAAGGGCTTTTAAGCATTCATAAACATCTTTGTATATGAAAACCATAATATTAAAATTCAATTATAATTTCAAGATAAAGACATCTAATATTCTTGGGTTATTTGGCATATAAAACTTATTTGGTAGTTCTGTGTGGTACTCCATGCATGATACGTATGCAGAAGATCCAGGTTCAGTGTCTGGTAATTGTGAGGAGAACTGGAAAAGTTCTTCCCTAGAACCTGGGACAATTAGTGCTACTTGCTATTAAAACTTGTGGGCATTTTTTCACCATCTATCATACTGGTTTACAGGAGCCAATGATTTGACTCAATATAAGGCTCTTTCCAGTATAAGAATGATACATTTTGTTGTTTTTGACAGTCAAGCTCTACAGAACAATTATTGTTATGGTACCAATGTTATTAATTGCATTGGGTTTGTAGACCAATATGGTCAAAGATAGGCGAGAAACTGTTCTACAGGTAGTCCTCAGCTTACAATAATTCATTTAGTGACCATTGGAAATTATAATGGCACTGAAAAAAATGATTTATGACCATTTTCCATACTTATGACCAGTGTAGCATCACCCTGATCACATGATCAAAATTCAGATGCTTGGCAACCAACTCATAGTTATGATGATTGCAGTGTCCTGGAGTCATGTAACTAACTTTTGCGACATTCTGATGAGCAAAGTCAATGGAAAGTCAGATTCACTTAACAACCATATTACTAATGTAACAACTATGGCAAGAAAGATTGTAAAATGGGACAAAATCACTTAATAACTGTCTTACTTAACAACAGACATTTGGGCTCAATTGTGGTCATAAGTTGAGGACTACATGTATTCTGTTCCTCTTGTAAGTATTCATTCCAGTTCTTAGTAAGTATCTCACAGATTATAGGAAAATACTCAAAGGTTAACTTTTATCCCCAAGCTGTGAAATTATTAATTGCTTTATGTGGTACAAAATGAGTCATTGAATTTTATTGGGATGGGATACCAATTGACTTCTGGTGAACCAGCAAAGTCATAACAATGTTCTCCTTATACTTTATGGGCACAAGTAGAGGGAATATGATTCTGTAGGTTACTTTAGAAAATTGCAGCCAAAGTTACACATAAGAAATTTAAGAAACCTCTTAAAATCTGGAAAAATATTTCTAGAAAAAGATACTTAATTTATTGCAGTTTGAGTGGAAGCTGTTCTCTTTTTTTAAAAAAATAGTATTTAAATCTGTACATAATGCTTGGAAATATTGATCATAATTATAAACTCAAAACCTAATTATAATACCATCTTGGCTATATGTTCTCTTATAACTAAGTTGTTATATAGTACTAACTTTAAAGACAAAGTACAAAGGTAACAGGTCGTGTTGATGGTTATTTATTTCATCAATAAGATGGTTAAGGATTTACTGCCTTGTATATAAACAAAAATGCATTTGCATATGGTTACTGCAAGGAAATTGTCATAAGAAGCCACTGAAAAATTAATACATAGGAAAATATGTTAAGTTTAGGCATGGTCTCATCACTGACTTTGACTCTCTCTCCAAAAGGGTCCAAATTAAAATTTAAAGATTCAGTTATATTTATAGGAAGGAAGGAAGGAAGGAAGGAAGGAAGGAAGGAAGGAAGGAAGGAAGGAAGGAAGGAAGGAAGGAAGGAAGGAAGGAAAGAAGGAAGGGATAGGTAGATACCAACTGATCTTCTTTTGAGACATTTATTATGGAGAGAAAGGAATTATATCTAATCATATGTTCATTATAGAATGATGTTCTTTGCTACATTTTGATTCCCACATGAAGTATAATAACTAATGTAAACAATTATTTCTTTGGAGCTAGGTCCAATTCATGTGTCATATCAGCAGACATCAATTAATCTATAGTCAGATGTTATTGTTCTGGCACTAAAATAAGTACCGTGTTGATGTGCACAAACATGGAGTCTGCTATTCCTACGTGATTGAGGGTTACTAATAGGTAGATTGAATGTAAACAGTGTAACGAGCCAGCAGCATCTACAATGTCACCAAAATGACAAAACAGCTGATACGCACTTGCATCCTGACATTTTAGTATCTAGGTCGCAGCATTTGTGTGATGATATGATGAAGGTCTCTCCCTTGGCTAAAATTAGAATAAAATATTTAGCATAAGACTTAGTGAGGTAAAACGTGGTTTTCTTTCTGTTTGAAAGATTGTCATGTGTAACACTCAAGCTGATCAACACCATTGGGGTAGATAAGTATAGACATGTACATACACATATACATGCATTGTTATCAAAGTTTGGAATGATTTGGGTTGTATTTGCAATTTTGCATGCGAAGATGGATAATCTTTGTACCATGTCAGAAACCAGTTGATTAATCATGGTAGACAGCAGTATCAACATGCACCTAATAATGAATGATCCCCTATGACACCATTGCAATATTACAAAGGCAAAGAAGGTAGGTTAGGTAAATAAAACAGAAAAAGAAAAATTTAAACCAGCTAGAGCTATACCAATTAATAAACTACCTGCTGACTTTCTGTCAGAATAAATAGATCTCCTTATTTTGTCTTTTTAACACTGCATTGGATTCAATTGAATATTCTTAACCAAGCAGTAGGATTTTTCTACCCAGCTCATCAAATAAATAACAAAGAATGATAGAAAATGCTATCTCCTATACAATAGAGCTGTAAGCATCCAAATGCAGTTTGATGATAAGATCAAGATGAAGCAACTTGTTGTCTTACATTTTAATATATATACTTTCAATTTGATGTGCCTTAGTTCTGCAGAACTGGGTCTAAAACCTGAAATAGGAAGTTCTTGCTGCCAATCTATTCTTATTTTTATCATTAACTGAGAGAAATCAGAGTATTCCAATTACTGTGCATACAGAATAGGAACTGATTTAGAAGCAACATTGATTAAAAATATTACTCTATGTAATGAAAATTGTAGGAGCCAATTAAAAATTCTGCAATGTTTTATTTTTCATATCAATAAATTTCTATAGACTTTGAGCAGCCCCCTTATTTCTTCTTTTACACCTGAACTGCTGACTTTCTGTCTGTTCCTTCTTGCATAGTGGTTATTTTTTATTGTTTAAAAATGCAGAAGACTGTCCATCAGACTCTTATTTTTCCCTTTTTAGTCTTATCTAACTCTCTATATCTTGTATCATTTACCTTGTAGGGTCCACACTGAAACGACTATGTCTAGGCAAAGATCACAGTAGTAGTAACTATCCCTCTCTCTTTTATTTTTGGCTTTTTTTTGTATTTATTTTTGAGCATGGGCTGCTTTGTTTAAATATAATCTAGTGGTTTATTTAACAGCAGACTGCATTGATGATGGCATTTAAATTATGCTGCTTATGAATTAAACATAGCTTTGCATGTCCATGCTGTTTTTGGGTGCATGCCTGTTGCAATATCATCATAATTTCAGTATGTACATGTGTATTTTAATGAGATAAAGCTGAGTCATATGCTTGTTGATTAACTCAACTTCCTTATAATGCTCTTTTGTTGCTGGCTGACTAATACAGTTTAATAGTTCCTCTCCTCTGTTGAAATGCTTGAAGTACTGAACAGTGGCTGAAGTATAAATTGAGGGGAGCACTTTCACTGTTCTATTTTTCAATGAGCATAAGAATTCACATTAGTTCAATGCACGGGAAGTTTTAAAGAAAGGCATAAGGTTTTATGTAAGTAAAAAACAAACACTAATAGTGTTGCTCGTGTTCTCTGCAAATTCATATTGTAGAAATAGTCGTTTAGTATGTTAGTTCATTGTATGCAATACCGTTTCAATACAACTTTGAACTTTTCTGCTTCAAATTTTGGTCATTTTGAAATTAGGATTCATGTATTGAGATTATTGGAGAAAAATTATTTCAAACTCATTGGTTAATTGTCAATACTGTTTTATTTCACTTTGCTACTTAATTGGTTTTAATGCCTCTACCACGACATATTTTGAGTAATGGTTTCAATAACAGTTGTCCCAGTTTCTGGATGTATGTATAAAAATTTTATAATTAGATTGAATAGATTTAGTTGCCATGTATGTATTCAAATTATGACCATTTGTGTCATTCATTACCACCATCTTGAAAGTGAATTTTTTTAAAAAAAGGAAAAGATTAGTAAAATCTTTAAACTCTGTTTCAGTTCAGAACAGAGTAAGGATATGCTTGGGAATTCTGCAGAAATATAAAAATTTAATTGGCTGCAAAGATACTTTTTTTTAAGCCAATTATGACTAATACAAAATAAACAGGCGAGGAAAGAAGATACAATTTATCCTAGCTAAAATAATACTCTGAATAACAAAACTAAAATCCCTTTGAACACATATTTAAACACGTATTTATGCTACTGGAGGGCCATTTTTGAAGCAAAAAATGTTCTTCAGAAGAAGCAGGCGATTGATTAAACATATAGTCATTTCAGAAATACCATGAATTGTAATAAATACGCTCAAAATAAATTCATGTTTTATATATACATATAATTGTTTCTTACCTTTCCACGATGTCTTAGGATCTTCAGCAAACAGCCTTGTAGCATATCCAGATCCTCTACCACAAACAACAATACAGGTTCAGGTACAAGCCAACAACAGTAACAACAAGAAAGGAACCTTCACAGATGATCTCCACAAATTGGTGGATCAATGGACAAGCAAAACCATGGGAGCTGTACAAGCAAAGCCATCCTTAAACCAACTTAAACAGAATCAAAAACGGCAAGACATGGAGCCCAAGGCTAATCCCACGCAGACACAGAATGAGACCTGTGGAGTAAGTGGCACTCCTTGAAGAGCATTACGTTTTACTTTGGGTCTGAAAGCCATTGCAAAACTGATGTTTGGAGGAGGACATAAGCTTTTAAAAAAAGCATATTCCATATAAAATCCATTTCAATTCATTGACTACTAAAAATAACTTAAGAATTTTTTTTTTATCAACTTGGACTTGAGCTTGACAACATATGTATGGTTCAGTATATAACTTTTTGCAAATTGAAAATTGTGGAAATAGTTTATACACAGCAATAAGTTCACTGGTAATCAAATATTGCTTGTCTTAAATAATTTCAAACAACATCGATGAAGTTTATTTTATGTATTTCCCCCCCAAATATCATTAATTTCCATAGTTGGCATATTGGCAGCAGCTAGTGGGTTTTGCAAGTGACTCTGCCAATAGTCCAACTTTAGAACAGAGTAATGATAACTGTCAATATGATCCTACTTAAATCTATTCAAATGTAAGTCCCCTTTAGTTCAGCGGCTTGAATTTTAACTTTGAAGAATGAATACCTATCAAGTCTGGCTGAATACAGTAGGGATTTCTTAATAAAATGCTTCAGATTTCATTGTAAATGATCACTTTGAGTTGAATAAATGCATAACATTTCATATAGAGAAATATATTTAAATATACCAGAGTGGCTTAAAGAAAAAGATGGGTATAATGAATTCACTTCACCATACTTCCATTATCCATTTTCAGTGCTTTAGCTTATCATCTTCAACCTTATGAATTCCTGAATTCCTGTAAAATATGCATATATGCAAAACTAGAGCCATAATAGTCTGGCTTGAACCAATTATCATCCCCTTTCTTTCCTGCCTACAGAATTCAAACACAGTTATTGGAAGCAAGGCTGCTCCAATACTTTTTGAAGCTTGGTGGTATTTGAAATCGAATATAAATTAGATCCATCCTCTTTAGTATATAAGAATGGGGCAAGCCCACTGGCAGAACTGTAAACATCTGGACTGACCAAGTCATAAATAATGTGACAGGGCCATTGAATCAGGGAAGTGTACTTATTTATTTATTTATTTGTGCATTTATTTATGCAGAAATTTGTATATTTTCTGTTCCATAGAGGAGAAGCATTAGAGAAGAATCTTAATATATTTGAAAAGGGGGAGAAACATTTAATGAGTGTTGTTTATCAAGCATCAAATGGTTTGCTTAAGCTATCTTCATAGAATTTATTCTTTAATCTTGGACTCCCTTGGCAGATTATTGTTGCTTTTTTTTGACTATCACAGAATCTAAAAAGCAGCGAACAACTTTTCTGTTAAGTTATAATAACAGAAAACAATGGCATTGGAAGGACAGGGATGTATTCATGTTTATCCATGAGGAGCTACGTGCCTTTCATTAAAGCAATTAAATTCATAGAAAACAAGTACACTTAAACATTTCTTTAAATCATAATTTTCAATTAAAAGTTTCATTTGCATAGCAGTGACTTTGCAGGCTTCTGATATTTCATTTTAAAAGATATAGATTGTACTGTTGATGGAAAGTAGAAAAAGGATGCAGCCAAATTGGTGTGTGTGTGTGTGTCTGCCTTAGCAACAGGAAAAGTTCTCAGTATATATATATATATATATATATATATATATATATA